CCGTCCCGATCCACGAATGGCCGCCCTCGCGAGCTCGCAGGCTGGCCGGACGCTGGCTCTGGTGTACGTGTGTGGCGCGCCCGTGTGGCACAGCATGTCCACCGAGGAGGCGTGCACACGAGGATTGGGGGAAAGGGAGGGGGTTGGAGGAGATGGCCTTGCTCCGACTCTGGAGGCTCTCCCTGTAGGAACACCAGCGAGAGGGGGAAAAAAAATAAAGTTGCCGGCCATTGAGAACCGCGCGTATGCAGCTGACTTGTCTTTGAGTTCAGGCTTTGAAAGGCCAGCTGCTCTGTCCCGTTAAAACAGAGTATATATACTGTAGCGACTGCTGTCTGGATCAGAAAGGTTCACGAGGATGGTGTTCGCTTTCTTGGTGGCAAAGTTTTGAATTTCTGGTTAAATTTTCTAGCAGAAGTGCAGGGATTTGGAGAGCTGAATAGCTTCAAATTCCCCTAAGCAGTCCACCCCTTATCTCATCAACTGGCACCTATGGTCTCAATAACTCAGAGACATTATAAAATCCATTTGTAGGTGGAAGAATAAAACTTTATTTGTAGTTATGAACAGATAAAAAAGGAAACTGAGAAACATGACTGCTTTCAACAACAGACCTCATGGCACAGTGGTTAAACTGCAGTACTGTTGAATCTCAGCCCTCCCTCCTTCTGAGGTCCGTAAACTGAGTACTGTACCCAGCTTGTGGGGGATGGGCAATGAACAGCCCGCATAATTAAACTGTAAACCTCCCAGAGAGTGCGTTAAGCACTATTTGTTGTTGTTTAGTCGTTAAGTCGTGTCCGACTCTTCGTGACCCCATGGACCAGAGCACACCAGGCCCTCCTGTCTTCCACTGCCTCCTGGAGTTGGGTCAAATTCATGTTCGTAGCTTCGGTGACACTGTCCAACCATCTCATACTTTGTCATCCCCTTCTCCTCCTTCCCTCACACTTTCCCAACATCAGGGGCTTTTCCAGGGAGTCTTCTCTTCTCATGAGATGGCCAAAGTATTGGAGCTTCAGCTTCAGGATCTGTCCTTCCAGTGAGCACTCAGGGTTGATTTCCTT